TCTGTCTGTCTGTCTGTCTGTCTGTCTGTCTGTCTGTTCTGCATTAGTTCAGCTGATGTTCCAGCAGTGCTAACCCTAGAGACAAACCTTCTATTTCTCTTGTGAAGTCTGAAGATCTTTGCTAAAGCAACACGTTGCCTGTAAACTCCAGCTTGTTCTCGGCTGCTTTTATTGTGAAACTCTTGACACTGAAACAGGAAATGGTTCCAATTTAAATCAAAGCTTCCAGTTTCTTTTACTAATGACTGCTGATTCTTCTCTTCTCATTCAACGGTTGCTCAGTCTTTCACTGGTCAGTCTGGTTGGACCATTCTACAGCGTGTTGTTCTCCATCTACTGAACTAAATAACAGCTAATAGTAAAGAAGACTTTCTACAGATAAAAGCATCATTCAGACGTAGAGAGTCGTCCTCTCACACATCTGACTGGACACAGTCAAGCTCTGTGGAGGACAGTCTGAGCTTTAAGATGATAGTGTATTTACAGTATTTATATACAGTGTATATTGCAGCTTCTCAGCTAAATGGGAACAGGTTTAACATAGCCGTAGACAGCCACCGTAATGTTAGACGTGAGGCTGTGCTTTGGTCAGTCAGGTAGTTTCTCACTGTTTTATGATCCACGGTAGTTTGGGCGGTCCAGGGGTTGTTTGAATGGTGTAGTGCACGTTGCTGGGTTAGCTTATAAAGAGCTCTGGCTGCCTGTATCATAATCATGAAAGAAATCCAAACCCCAAACAAACAGCTGTTACTGAAACATCAGCACTGGACTTACAACAAAGGTGTCGTAGGAGAACTTGTGTCTGTGGAGGAGATGCTGGAGGAAGTTGGAGCTCTTATAGCTGGGGTCTCCCCACGGCATGGCGGAGCACACCGGACACACCTGGAGACACAAACACTCGGCTCAGTTTAAGTGGAGTCACTGCCGGACCTCATAACACACACACCAGCATGTGGATTATTTTGACTACTGTTGAAAGATAAAAACCACCATCTCAGCTGTGTAAACCATGTGAGCCCCAGTAGGTCCTCATGATCCACACAAACTAGCATACAAGCAGAACCTACAGCATGCCACACCGCTACCGTCTCGTTGTATACAGTCGCTGGCTTTGAGGGAAGTGAACTCAGTGGAATGAGTCAGACCATCGAGGTAGTTATCCGTCTACACACAAAGCACTCCCAAGAGATTACAGTCAGGACCGTCTGTGTGTCCGTAGCGTTGTATGAAATCCTTTTCATTTGTTTCTCAAATTCCATGTTTTCCGTTTTTCATTTTTCTGAATTCTGCGTTTGATGATTTAACCACATTTAGTCATCATAAAAAGTCTAATCATGTGGTGGACGAATGAAATTTCAACTGTTCAAAAAGAAAATATTTGATGGAACACAACATTGCACTATTTCTCCTCAAAGAAAGTGCCTCTACACACTTAATACACACTTAATACACACATAAGATAGTAGTGGTTTGGATATTGCGCTGCTCTAAATGTAGCTGTCAGTGTTATTCCTCAGTTTTTTGGCATTGCATTCAGATTTTGGCAGATTTCTTCATTTTTAAAGTTGTTTCAAATTTTATTATGAAATTCCACAATTGCATCCCTGTTCTCTGCATCGTGGACATCATGGGGCCCTAAACAAAGGTCCATGGCCGGACTAGAACCGGTGGTCAGCACATTTAAAGCCACACCACCAGGGTAGCCCTGTTTCCTGAGACATACTCATCGTATGTCTCAGGAAACAGGGCTACCCTGGTGGTGAACACCAAGAACATTAGATTACTGTGTTAGAGCTCCAGCGAACCTCAGACGGTTCATGGGTTTTTAAAAGGTTCATGCAGGAGAGTGTTTGTGTCCCGGACACACTGAATCACTTCCTGTGTGAGTCTCTTACCACTTTATTGGGGTCATTACGGTGATTGTCCATACAGTGCTTCACCAGCTGCTGCTGGTCCAGGTTTCTGGCCCCACAGAACGGACACACGAATGTTGACCGGTTTGGAATATTGCTGCAGACCGATAGAGAGACAGAAGACCTGGATCAAGCTACTTCAATCTGCTCTCTGTACACTGTGCGTACATGTACAATATATCACACGTTCTATGAGTTCCAGGTAGTGGGTGAGTCAGAGAGTATATGGAATGGATTGCATACAGTCTGTTCTACTCTAGACAGCACATGTTATGGAGTTCTAGTGAGACGGGTCCTGGGTTCTCCAGCAGAGGGCTGAGTATCTTCTCCTGCACTGGGCTCTCAAATATGTCACTTTAACCAGGAACAGACGATGACCATCTCAGTTGAACTACATAATGCAGCTCATAGAGGAAGTTAGCATAACACTGCTTCATGTTTATGATACTTCTTTACAAATGAACACTTTTATGATTTTTGAAGTGTAAATATAATCGGCAGAAGTAAAAAGCTAACGTGTGGAGTACGGTAGATAGGACAGGGGGGCATAGTGCTCGCTCTAGTCACTAGTATGAAGCACACACACACACACACACACAGCATTGTATGGTCTCGTTACATGATTAAATAGAGACTACATACATATTACCTAGAGATCCTCATTACGTATCTGCTTATGCCCAAATGTTTCCTTTAATAGTTTTTTCCTGCTTTATTTATAGTTTTCATAGTTTATGTATAATAAGCACACCACTTTCTTACAGATTTTTTACTATTTTACAACAAAAAAAACATGATTTTTTTAGGGAGAGCAGCATTTTTAATTCATGCGAGTTCTTCTTCAGGGAGCAGGTGTCTGAATCACTCACAAGTCCCTTTTTCTCTAGAACTATTTCACTGAATAACTGCTTATCAAGATGCTCACGTGAACATTGTTTGTGCATGGAAACTACATGTTGGGATTGAGTCCGCTCAGCATGTGTGTGTTCAGAGTGTGTGTACCTCGGTATAGGTTGGGAGGTGGGCACCACAGGGACGAACTCAGGACAGTTAGCTGTCTGCTGCTGTACTTTAGAACAGGAAGCAATGTGGGACCTCATCTTCACCAGAGCCACCTGAGAACACACACACACACACACACACACACACACACACACACACGCACACGCACACACACACACACACACACACACACACGAGGATTGTAGGTCATTAACAATACTACAAAGACAACACTGTTCATTTTGTCACCACAGCCTCATTAGCGTTCCATGCTGCCATCTTCACACTGACCAGCTGTTCTGTCCAACACACTTTACATCACCCTCATGATATGAAACATCTGGCTAACATGCAGACTGAGCAGACACATAAAGACTATAAATAGCAACTGATGCCACAATATGATGGTTTAATTATGGACCAGATAACAGACATACACCCGTGATGGAGAGTTGCTAACAGGAATGCCCAGTATCTACCTTCTTGTTACAGCCCCTGCAGGGTGCTTTGTATGAGGCCAGCCGCTTCTCCATGCTGGAGGAGCGCTCCACTTTCTTGGGGTCAAAGGGCACGCGACAGAGAGGGCAGAGGGGCGAGGTCACCTGGAGACATGGCTGCAGACACTCCCCACAGAACCTGGAGGAGCAGACAACAGACAGCCGGGGAGAAACGCTTCAAGTCGTTGCTCAAGAGAACCACGGCGACGGTAATGAGGGAGAGGGAGTCCCAGGACCCCCCCCCCCCCCCCCACTGATAACATGCTCAACAACGATATGAGCCCATTGCGATGCTCAGAGAACGTGGAATAGTTTAAGACTCCATCTGCGTTCTGTGTGTTGCTCACTCACTCAGGCAGAGAGGTCGTTCACCACAGTGAGATAATCAATAAGGTTAATATGAACATTAACACAGCTGGGATAACTTTGGAATGTTTTCCATAAAGCGGCTGTGGACCAAAGCAGCAGAAAGACGTATGCTAACCTAAATAAATGCGTGTCTGTTTACGTGTGTGCTGTATTTAGAGTAGTTTCACCACTCTGCCTTCAGACATCGTTACCGCTCAAAGCCTCCAGACTCCACTGCTCATCGGTGTTCTGAGGGATGACCTCTCACTCACACTAACACATGTACGGTCACGGTGCAGACAACAGAACCATGTAAAAACCTCAAAGCAATAAATAATGGACCTGTTCTTCAATAACAATAGCGATAAAAACGCTAAACCATTCTATAACAATTCATCCGTCACTTTATTGAACGTGTCAAACTTTCCATCAGAGACAGCAGAGCCTAAAGGGACGTCTCCATTCTGACCAACAATAATCAAATGCACACATTCATATTACAAAGAAAGAAGAAAGACAATCACATTGAGAAGCTGTTTGTTTCTGTTAATACGTTGACTTTCTTGCCCTTGATGTACACACAGTTGTAAAATTACAATTCTACCATATTCCAGATTCTCTGTTCAATAACATCAGAGACGCTGGACTACAGCCCGTCTTTTATTTAATAGCACATAAAGGAACATTAACAAAACAATCAACAATAATATATATTAATACGATAGGAATCTGCTTGGTAGTGAATCACACAGAAGCTGTCTCGCTGTGCGTGTGTTTCTATGGGAGAGGAAGAGAAGGAAGCATCCATCCAGCAACACATGCTTTTCTCCTTAACTAGAAGCAGAAGAGAGGCTGCCTGAGGTCTGCTCTTCTTTCTTCTTCTCAGCTCCAGACTGACAAAGACTAGAGGTACTCCTCACTCATTCTAGAGCCAATGAGGTCATGATCCCATCAGTCACATGATCAGCTGGGTCTCTCTGTTCACCTCACAGCCACCAGTCCTTCAGGTAACAATCATCAAGTATGAGCAAACATTGGAAAACAACTACAGCAGCTGATTGTGTTACACTTGGGCCGACATGCAGAAAATACTTTTTTTAAATCTGTGGAATGACTGACGGCTTTTCTTCATTTTATTTTGTTCATTTTTGGCAGAATTGTGGTCTTGATTTCTCCTTGTGCACCGTAGTCCCCCGAGAGACCTGTGGAGGGCTGCAGACCCTGTTTATAGGACGTCGTCACGGTGACGTCACCCATTGGTCTGTAGACTGATGGTTTGAAGCCTCGAATTCGGCGATTTTGCCGTCAACATCTTGGCTTTTTTTTCAACCAATAAACAGGAAGTGACCATTTTTGGACTGAGGAATGACGTAGAGACGCCATATACGTCTCTGGTAGCAGCAGAGACCTGTCAATCACCGTGTAGCCTCGCCCTAAAGCATCCCCTGCTTTATGGTCTGTGTGACTCTAAATGGACCATAATGTACTAAATGAACATCATGCTGTATTGAAGAAGACTTGAAACTAGAGATTGAGACCATAAACTCATGTTTACAATGTTTACTGAGGTAATAAATCAAGAGAGAAGTAGAGTCATTTTATCATAGACTTCTATACAACCAGAGGAGTCGCCCCCTGGTGGACACTAGAGAGAATGCAGCTTTACGACACTTGAAACATTGGCTTCACTCTGTAGAACCGGAGGTTGCTTCCTGCTGCTGACAGACAGGCGCTACCTCCGCGTCACATGATGTCACCCATCAGTGAGGAGCCTGAGGTGAGAACCACGAGGACTCAAGCTCAGGTCTCTGCAGAGGTGGTGGGTTTAATGGCAGCATCTATAGATGGGAGGGTTCAGAGGTTCTCCAGTGAATAATATGAGAGAACTACAGTGGCCGACATGGGGACCGGCTCCCTAATATAAACGGCTTATTCTAAGGCAACAAACACACAACGATTCTTATTTTTTATTTACTTTATTTTCTTAAATTTAATAGGTCCTGCTCTGTTATTTTATTATATTGTATATTTTGTGCATTTTCCACACTTAATATTTTTATTTTATTGTGTAACCTTGTTTGCTGCTGCCACAGACAAATTTCCCCTTGGGGATGAATAAAGTATATTTCTATTCTATTCTATTCTTTCAGGTGATTATACAATAAAGAAAACGCACTTCTTAATATCATATTCACTGCCTGCCAATAGATCCCTAAATGCTACACACTGGACATTTAACGTAACTCGTGCACCCTGCAGAGCAGAAGCAAACAAACCTCTCTCATACAGGACACGGCATCACGTTTTGAGAACTGAATATTTTGAGTTGGTTGTGATACAATAATGAATCATAGTACTGGTATGTATGGGTGTAGCTGTATTTGATGTTGATTTGTATTGTATAACTTGGTAATAAATGCCGTACAGGTTCTATGCAGCTCACTATCTGTAGTCAGTCATGACATAACAACCGGAAACACGAGTCCTGCTGCTGGACACAGAAGTATGGGCTTAGTTTCTCTTCAATACATGTGAAGATCAAGACTCATATTTGTGTATCAACAATTAAATAGTTGAGCTGCACCCCTCCAGTGAAGGACGTGTATGACACAAGCACTGCTGTCACTGCTGTTGAATGCTGAAAGCTCCAGTATAGAATGAATGAACTGCTGTCACCAACACAAACACATGATGTCAAAGCAGGGCCGTAACGTTGCTGTACACGTGCACACACAACAACACGCATCCAAACAAGAGAGGCTACTTTACGTGTGCGCGCAGCTGTTGATGCTGACGGGTCTGTGGAACACCTCCAGGCAGATGGGGCAGGACAGCTGGCTCTCGATGCCCTCGGCCGGGCCGCTGCTGGGCTGCTGGCGGAGCTGGGTGCTCGTCGAGACAAAGCTCCGGAACATCGCCATTATTTAGCGGAGAGGACACCGCTACTGTCGAAGACAGCTCCTAACTATCCACCCTGAAGTGAGCTGGTGCATCAGTGCAGCACACTGAATGTATGCCGTACAAACATGGCGGCTGTCCTCTCTACTAATCATGAAACATATGGTGAATAAACCAAAGCGGTACTGTCCCGAGCTGGAGGAGACACGCAGCTGAGGTAAACATCGGGAGCAGGGGGTTCGCGCTGTGCCGCGAGGATGACCTGAATAGAAAACGTCGATCTACACACTGACGGAGGACGTGCGCTGCTGGGCTCACTTGGTTGTCAGATCAGCACTTTTGGAAGAAACGCCAGTGAACGCTCGCGAGCAGCACGAGAGGCTACATCACATGTGTCAAACTCAAGACCCGCGGGCCGAATCCGGCCC